CCCTCTCTCTCTCTCTCTCTGTAACGCTTCAGCATCGCGGCGGCTATATATATTGAGTTATAGCGGAGGCACCGAAGGAAAAGGAGGTGGGTGGAGGAGGAGGAGGAGACGTGAAGGGCTCGAGAATTCTCGCAGGAGATGGAGGATGTGCGCGCCGCGCGCGCGATGTACACGTCGATATTTATTAGATTGCCGAAGTGACAGACGGTTTTCGTCCATTCGGATGCGCCTCCGGTCTCCGTGGACGTGAAATGGATTCGAAAATAGAACGTCCGCGTGATGCGCGCGGTGGCCTGCGATATCGCGTGCGAGAGCAGCGCTATAGCTTTCCCAGTTCCTGCACCCTCCCCCGGGGATTCGGCCGTTCGAATCGGACTGTGTCACGACGATCCTTCTGTTCTCCCGGATGAAACAGAGGGACAGAGTTAATGAATGTTACGCATGCGAGAAACGACGCGCGGTAGAAGGGCGGAGGTAATAAGCGGGACGAAAAAACTTTCGTGAAGTATTACTTACCGGCGGTTAATTCGCAAAAATTTGGGGAATTTTAAATAAAGGAGCAGTACATTTAATGCGTGCAAAAAAAAACCAATCGAATCTGTGCGTCACTGCATGTAAATATTCTACGCTATCAAAAATAAATATTATTTTAGATAATAACAAATTATTTTATGACATATCGGTACATCTGCTCTTTTATTATTAAATATTATCACTCCGTGTATTTTCATTAATGATACTCACTGCATTGTATATGCAAATGTGTTTGGCAAATAAATTATTTCGGAGTATCGATTGACTTACGAAAAGAATAAGAGAGAAAAGGGTGGGAGGGGGGCCAACAAATATCGAATTTAATCGCGTTTACGAGCCGTACCACGAGGGGATACGAACGTTCAACAAAAATGAAAATCAGGCCGACAGTCGCGCGCCTCAATTATCGTGATAACGGCGCGCAACGTTCCGTTTAATATTACAGACGGACGCAATATTGCATGCGAAAGTACGTTTTCCCGATTCGTCCGACCTAATCCATTAATCCCACCGGGATTGCAACCTTGACAATTTGTTCTCCCGTCCTGTGTGTGCGCGACGCCCTTCGTGACCAACAAACCTCGTGTCATATATAAACCTTAGTATTACCGAGTGTATAAATTTTGCAAAACGCGCCGGGCACACACACACGTGGGATCGATACTCGCGAGCGTGCAGGCTCTTCACAATTTGCCACGCGTTCTGCATTTTATTTTTTTTTTTTTTTTTTTGATTAAAGCAAACAACGCGCAATCTGTGATAATTGTAACGCTCGCGAGAATTTAAGCTGCGCGCCCGTCGCTTTATTTCGCGAGATTTACACCGTGCACGCGGCGTGATTCGCAACTTTGACGCGAGAAATTGTCAAAGGGGGGGACGAGTTCTCGTATCCCTCGAGGGAGAGAGGGAGGAATGTCTGAGGCGCCACTAATTACCAGTTAACTCGCGGTTCAAGCCTCGGGAGAGATGCAAATAGATAGATATAACGTGAACTCGCTCTTTGCTTTCATTTCGAATTAATAACTTATTTTTACTCAAACAGTTATTCGGCGCGCCCATCAGCGGATAGTAATTCCGAGGTAAATCGAGGCAGTAATTTCAAGTGTGTCCCTGCGCCATATACCCGTGTAATTTTTTTTTTCTCCCATCAGAGATACCGTTGCAACAGCGATGTTATTAGTTACACGCGCCGCGTTGCAATGCGTGTGTCGAGTGCACTCGAAGCTACTATTTCATTGTCAAACGTCAAAGCGGCGGGATTTATTTATTCGTTTTTTTTTCTTTTCGATCGCGTGCGTGCGCGCGACGACTCGTCCTTAATACGCGCCGCTCGAACCGCACCGTTGTCGCACCGTACAGTTCAGAATGGCCGCGCACTCGACGATTCGTTGCGTCGTCCCCCTTCCCCCCCCCCTCTCCCCCGCCTCGCGGGGACAGACGCGGAAACGCGTCGCGGCGCGTATCAAAATCGCTTTAAAGCTAGATTAATCTCTCGTTCCGCACAAATTAAGCCCTTGGCACTCGGCGAACCATCTCTCCCCCGGACGACGAGCGTCGACGCGCGCGCGAATGTAACGAATTGCGTAGCAACACGTGTTTGACGTATGCCCGCGTTAAAGAGAAGTATATTCGCGAGCACTAATATAAATTGAGAAGCGAAATTTAGTGCCCGCGGCGCGCGGGCTAATAAAAGATTGTTAAATTATTGTCACGTGTCGATTTATAGTTTTCGTTAAAATAGCGTTACTCGGGTAACGGATCCCGCTTATACGCCGGTAATACGATAGTGTGTATATAATTACGCACGATGCGCGATGCATTTTTCATAATTATAATTATCCAAAATGTAACACATATAATTACATAATATATGTAGCATTATTATAGCGTAATGTTATTATAACGAATTAGCTATACAGCACGTTCATTGTACATTCACAAATGCGCTCGGCTAATCTCTTAGGCATCGAAATAGGTTAAATAGCAATTAGACCTAGTCACCTATGCACATGCGTACGATGATTGGGAAATCATAGCTCCGGCCATCCGCAAACGGCCAGCGATATTATAAAGCGACTACAGACGGCCGTGATGCGGACAATTTACGTTGTATAAATTTCGTCGCGCAAATCGATATATCGCCCGCATCTCCATTAGCCTGAGACGCCCAGCCGAAGCCTTTTGCTTCCGCGAGCTGCTTTGGCGGGAGCAAGCAGAGCGAGGCGAAGCGTCGTCCCGTGCGTCGTCCCGTGGTGTTACGAGGGTGGCCGTATATACGAGCGAACAGCAGCTCCGTCTGACCTTTCGAAATTCTGCTCAAGTGTAACTTATCTGATTACGGATAATCGATCGAAATTGATCTCGGAGCGCGTTGTCCTCGAAAGGCCGCCGGGCTGCCAATGAAGGCGATTAGTAATTACCGATGAGACAGAAACGGGCTCGCGGCCCGCGCGCCGCCCCGTCAATCAAGGGCCCTGACACTTTTTGATTACCGCCGATTGTTTGAGGTTCGTTTGTCGTCGACAGCAACACCGGAACTCTCAGCGCGCGATTTTGCGACGTTTGTAAAATCAACCGTGTGCGCCCTCAGAATCCGACGGCGATTGATTCTCGCCGTATATATTTGTATACACGCACGCCGCGTTTGAAGCGCTCCGCTTTTGAGGGAGAAACGGCAGAGTAAACGTTCATGATATAACATTATATTATTACGAAATTTATAACAATGCGTAGTGCAAATACTGTTGGATAATTTAATTTACGAGTGTGTAAAGTGACGTAAATGAAAATCGAATGAACCGTAAATGCAATTATACATTTCATTATGATCGTAAATCCTCAAAAACGCCGAATTTTGCGCGTGTGCATTTATCGTATATCAAAATAAATTTCACGTCTCTCACGCAAGGTCTCGTCTGTTCGCGACAAATGGATCCTTCTCGTGGGTCACCGAAGTCGATTTTTGTTTCGGGAAAAGATGCGTCTAGCGAACTGCCTCAAAAGTTATTAACGCGTATCATCCGTGTTATTCCGATTTTCCGACTCATTAGCTGCTTATCTGCCAAAGCAATGCCCCCGATTATCAGTTTCGCTTCGCCGTGATGTGTATAATATGTGTACGCGCCGTCCTCTTCCTCTCTCTCTCTCCGTCTCTCTCTCTCTCTCTCTCTCTCCGTTTCTCTCTCTTTCGTCCCGATCTCTCTCTCCGTCTCTCTCTCTCTCTCTCGCCCCGATCTCTCGTCTCGCGTAACGTAGACCGTAGTCGCGGGCCACGGCGGCGGCGAGAGCGCCCAGTAGAAAGAGTCAGTGCTGCGCGGGCCTTCGTGGCGCGAGGACGTGCCCCCCCGGCTGTCGCGCGTCCGCCGGTGGCGAGAACACTAGTGCGTGCGTGCGTGCCGTGCGTGCCTCTCTCTCTCTCTCTCTCTCTCTCTTTTTCTCTCGTGTGTCCGGCTTTCCACTGTATTTCCTTTTCTCCCTTTCTCCTTTTCCTCACGTTTTTACTCCACTTTTCTCTCGCCCGCTATCGATCCTCGCTCCCCCGAGTGCGTGCCCCGCTATAAGCCGCGAACGCGGAAACTTTGGAAACTTTCGCATTCTCTTTTTCTCGTGCCCTCCCTCTCCCTCCCGCCCCTCCTCACGCTTCCGCGTCGCGCGAACATCCTTCTCTCGCCCCCGCGTGTGTATCTAATCCGTTTGCAATACTTTCCTCCGGTCGTCTGCCGCCGGCTCTTAACGCGACTGATCTGAGCAGATAATCGGCCGGATAACAATGCGAACCGCGATCGTGCATCGGGTAAGTCGTAAATACGTATAGATGAAGGAGAGATTGCTGGTGAAATATATACGCCGCCGGAGAAATATATCTCGCCGGCATGGCACATTTTCTTTATCCCCTTTTTTTTTTTTTTACAGAGAGAGGCAACGTTACACACGCGTTGTAAGTTCACTTTATCGATGCAAGAAATACGCCGCGCGTATTTCTTATATAGCGATAAAATAAAATTCAAGGTATCCCCTTCGAAGTTATCCTCCTCTAAAGATATCTCACGTTTTGTCTTCGATTTATTATAAATATGAAGAGAGAAATAGGGACGCCGCTCGGTCTCTTATTTAAGATCCGTAAAGTCGTACCCGGGACAGAGTTTATACACAGAAGTATATGTATTTGTGATTAAATACAAACGAAAGGAAGGTACAGAAGAAGCGAGGTAGCCGGGGCAGGTAGGGAGAAGTCAAAGGGGTCCCGGGGAGCGGAGTATTGTATAATATTAAGGAAAGTACGTAATGATGTTTTCCCATCTTCTCTATTTTCTTGCCGTGGTTTCATGCGGTCTCCAAGGAAACCATCAGTACCAAAGACAGGAGGGAGAGAAAGGGGGGTGGGTGCCCTCTCGATATATTGTTGATACCGACGTTGTGAATCATAAGTTCATACTTCGGACTTTGTTCGCGCAACGGGTATCACATAAATTAATATTTCAAAGTGGAACGAGAGGGGGAAGACTTACCGATGCCGCGCACGTAACACGAGAATGCACATATAGCGCGGCACATCGTGGTTTTCCCATCGCCCTCAAACACTGATAAACAAAGAGCGCACTCAAAGAGGGAATCACGGATATCAAGGATTTTTATTAGCTCTCCCCGCAGCATCGCGTATAAACTGCTGAGAAAAACGGTTTCCGCTTTATAAAGTCGTGTTTTCCGATATTGGCAATTAAGTAATTATGACGAGAGATGCATTTTACGTATATCCTAACATGTGTGTATAATTAGCGTACGAATGAGGATGTAAGTTAATGAATTATTCAATCAGATGTACGTTTGGCATTTGTATTTTCTCGTGTTTTGGAGAAATGCACGTGTAATATAAATAAAATTATTTGGAGGAAGAACTTGCATGCGGTCGTTCTATAATATTCTATATAAAGCGAAACTAATTTCTTTCCCGCGACCGCGACACTATTGTAGTTATAGAACTACTATTTTCAATTCGGTCGCGACCGAATCTTTGCACTTTTACGCTTATACAGAGGAAATGTGGGTTAATTAGTATTACGGTTTATTCAGTTTTATGTAACTGTACGAAAGGTAGGTGATTATGGTCGAAACAAATTCAGTCGGGCGACGCACGAATGACGCTCACAGTTTATGTATTAAAATATCCCCTGGCGAATCGTCAAAATGAATAGAATAGAGCTCATCTGAGGCAGACGTATAATGTACGCCACGTTACACGACGTAACAAATATCAAACTACGCGCTTCTGTCGAGATGCTATTGTATTACCGACGGTAACAAAGGAAAACTAGCTAAAATTTCTCCTCGCTTCGAAGCGAAACGTGTTTCGTTTTAAAAAATGAAGCGAGTCGATTTTAATTCGGGGCAAGGCACGGTCGTAAGACTGTGTTGTGCGCGCGCGAAAAAAAAATATTATCCCCGCCATTAATTATTAATTCCTTGACCTTTTTCATATTATAGTACGCGTTTCGAATGAATAAATCCTACGGGAGATTACGAATTCATTGGATGAATTTCCTCGTTGGACAACAAAATAAAGTCCCAGCTTATATATTACATCGTGTCCTGCACAAACTTTTCTCGTTCTTCTTCGCCGTCGCTATACGAAAAAGATAGTTTTATTGATGTTAAAATAGAAAAGATAATAATCTCATATCGAGAGATAAATTGAAAATGTAAGGTACGTGAAATTTGTTCACGTGAAATTCCGCTTTCGACCAAATTGATCTCGGATATCGAAAAATTGATATCCTTTCTATCATCTTTGTACTTTGACAATTTTTAATTGTACTGCAACGCGAACCGTTCAAAGTCCCTACCACATTGAGCTATAAAAATATACTTAAAAGAGAATTCAGCGTTCTGTTTTACAAAAGACTGAATGACGGGATTAAAGTTTTGTCGAGAATGATATTCCGGTAAAATATCAACATTATTTCCTTGCAGAATATTTTTATCTACCTATTGATAAAAAAGAGAAATTTAATATTTTTATCTATTCACTGACGAAAACAAAGGAAAGAGACACTGTTGACTAATAATAACAGTGTCATCGGTAGCTAAAGCTTCTGAGGCAACGCACCTCGCGAATACTATATTTCGCGAAAACAGCGGAGGTTATAAGAAGATTTCGCTGAACATTGTCGATTTATACTTCTCTACACAGCGCGCGTGATCCTATTTCTCGTATCTCCGATAACGAATCGACTGTGCCGCGTATATATATATAGAGCGTTCTTGTTCACGTCCGCGACGCGGACTATCGCTTCATCTTCCCTTGATGCACTTATACGCTCGACGATTCGCGCCACGTGTCCGAACATTTTTATGCCCGTCGAGTGTCGAGTGTGCATCATTGACGTGCCGCCTCTCGTAAGTGGCGTCTACCGCTGTACGCGGGCGCAATTCAATAATTCATCAACCTGTCTAGATAAAGTTCGAACTGGAATATCAAGTTGCAAGAAATTATCTCTGTGGCGCAAGGAATATGGATCAAAGCGGATTATCTCCCTCCCTCTCCCACCGCTAATATACGATATGGCGTAATCTTAACGGTGCATTTTATGCAGATTTATTGATGGCTTGCTATACTTCAAAAATGTCAAAAGTGTTATATTATTATTACGCGAAAAAGCGTGACGCGGTTTGACGGAGTGGCAGAATATAAATCATCGAAATATTAAAACAGGACGACACGTATTTTCGTGAATAATTATTTTGCAAGAATTTTAATCTTTCTCATTACGTATAGATCTAAAGGAACTAAAGGTAGAGAGAGAAAAAGAGAGACAGAAAAGAGATGCACAGTGAGCTGTATTTTACGTTAAATAAATCACTTCGTATATCACTTTATCTCTTAAAGGAAGAAAAAGAATGTGCCCTGCGTCGCTATTCCCATTCAGAATCATGAATTTAGACGGAGACGAATACCCCGCGGGATACTGGAATCATCCCTCCAAGGAATATATCCGAGATATATCTGCACGGCTAAAAGTAATTCAAGCTCCACTCGTACCGCCGCGTTCTTTGCCTCGCGAAGCGTGGGGCATGTTTCTCAAGGAAGCAATTCCGTTCTTTATAAGAGAGCTCTCCCCCGCCTTTTCCTTAACCCGATGTGTGAAAGGCAAAGTCTACTGACGGTGCATGCTGCCTATCCGCCTCTGTCCGCCCCGCGCGCGCAACGAACGAACGAACGAACGGTGCGCGACGGTTAAAGTGGTTCTCACGGCCGACGGCCCGCTATCGGATGTCGTTCCATTTCCGAACCCCTACCCTGCGGACCAACGTCGGACATTACACCCGTTAAAATAGCCTTCTCGTGTTTCGTTTGCGCCGCGAGAAATGTTTTTCTCGATTTTCGCGCGTAAGACTCTCTTTCTCTCTCTCTCGCTCTCTTTCGCGCGCGCACGTCATCGCCCTAGTAAATCCTCGGCGGCACGCGTAATTTTACGAGGGAGAAGAGTAGCGCGTCACACACCGCCCGCGTATCACGCTTCCGCAAGCCCATTTCGTGCACGCTACGAAAGTGCTTCCCTTATATTCGCCACTAAAACCCGCGATTACCGCATCGATTACCTCGATGCTTCGGCAATGTGGATACGAGGCTATACACAAGGCATTATATGGTATACTCTAAATTGTTGTATTTTTCTGAAAAACGCGTTCCTACGCTCCGTCATATACATTTCCGCGTTTCTCTCTTAACGAAGATTGATGGAAGCTATCCATACGGTGATAAAAACATGTCGGGAGTGAAGCAGCGGGTCATTCAAATGGATTATAATGTATTTATCTGCATTTATTTTACATAACGCGACGTAACAAAGCCTAGGAAGAAAAATGAGCAGCTTAAGTCGCTATGTAGCTGCAAGAGGTACGCGAGTGGAATTAAAAGTGGTAGTAACTCCAAGATGAAATCGTCAAGAAGGTTTCAAAACACGAGCGAGAACTCATTTTTTTTCTCGTTTATTAAATTATATTCGAGTGCAAATGGCTTCGAGACGATTCTATCTTAAGTATAATGCGAGCGAAAAGGCGGTACGGAGCGGCCATTTCGCCATTATTCTTCAACGTTTCCGGATTTTATTGCGAAGGTGGCGCCTAATGGAATACACTTCTGAGTACTTACTTAGTCGCTTTCAATTAAATCCCGACGCGTGGGTTTAAGTACATCGGCCGGCCGCCGGCCGAAGTGTCGAAAATCGAAGATGAAGAGAAAATCAATAGAGACGAGTCTTCCCCGTTTTTGTATTTTCTCTCTCTTTCTCTCTCTCTCTCACACACACACACACACACACACACACACACACGCACACGCACGCACACGCACACAGACACTAATAGAAATTGGGATGAATCCCGGACTAATTATTCGTGACCGGCCAACACCACGCTCAATTAGAATGGCCCCCGGAGGGACCGTTTTAATGACCAAGTACTTTTCAATCAGCCCTGGCAAAGCCTGTATATTTTCGTGAAATTTTAATTAAAATTACCAGCGCAAATTGTTCGCCGATGCGAGCGACTCTTGCAAAACCGATGAAAATTTAATTATTCGCTCTTAAAGTATGTAGATGTCATTTTCAGACGAAAATAATTGATACCCCGTTCCAAATTCGGTCGGTGCATTACCGCGTTTCAATCTTTCATCCACTAAAGCCACAAAACAGCCGAGTAACAAACTGATTAAAATTCGACAGGTTAGGTAACTTATATGTGCCCTCTTAATCATGTAGGTCCAGAACGCGTCTCGTTTGATGCAATTTGCAAAGA